CTCTTCAAAAAGAAAAAGCACTCTGGACAGAGAGAATAGCTAGAGAGCATGGTTCTTGCTAAAACATCTTCCCTTTACAGAATAAAATACCACATTTCTCTCCAAAGTGGTCTCATTAATATTATTTATCTACATTTAAGGAAAAAGACAAAAGTGATCTCATAATTCAGTCTGAAGCATGCTGTTTGTGTCATCTGCCTCCTTTGAGTCTAATATTCCAGAAATAGAATTATTTTTTTAAAAAATGACTGAGCTTAGTGGTCATTTTTCAGGCTCAATGCTTTCAGAAGCCGAGGTAGGAGGATCGCTTGAAGCCAGAAATTTTAGACCAGCCTGGGCAACATAGCGAGATCTTATCTTTACCAAAAAAAAAAAAAAAAAAAAATGGAATTATCCTGGTGTGATGGTGCACACCTGTAGTCTCAGCTACTTGGGAGGCTGAGATGAGGATCACTTGACCTCAGGAGTTCAAGGTTACAGTGAGCTATTACTGCACCAGTGCAGTCCGGCCTGGGTGACAGAGCAAGACCCTGTCTCCAAATATTTAAAAATGGCAGAATATAACAATATAGTTACTACCTGACAAAAAGGAGCTACTGGCTCTTAAGGCTGCATATAAGAAAAGTCAAAATCCCCTGATGTCTTTAACAGCTATGTCATTCTTGAACAGCTCAGAAAGAAAAGATTGGTTATCTTGTGGTTTGATCTCTGAACTATCTAATTATTTTTGGAAGTGCGAAGAATCATTTGCCCAAATCTCTAACTGCCGGAAAATCTCTTACGTGAAGTAAGTCAGATGACGTCACTGATCTTATCTGCTTGCAAAACCCGTAATCCAGTCCTTTAAAGCAATAATTCCTGGTTTACTTCAACACCCATCCAGAAACACCATTTGACTCAGCCCTCCTTGCCCATACCACATATCTGTCCCCAGCCTTTTCCTAACCATGGGGTAAATCATGACTTCTAATGGCTCTAGATCCTTCAGAATGACATGGTCTTGAGCTTCTGCTCAAGAGTGAAACACTAACACTGGACACCTGAAGGTCTTCTGTTCCAATTACTACCTCTAGCCCTAGGTTATTATAGAACCTTGGATTTCTGAACAACCTGCTCCTGTTTCAAATCCATGATAGCACCCTGGTCTCTGTGGTACAAACCACTTTACTTCCCCAACATCCTCCTCCCCACCGCCCTCAGACTCACACCACCACCCCATGTGGGTTCTCTAACTGTGGTAGTACATCACTTCCTCTGAGAAATCTTCTCTAGGCCTAATTTTATAGAATTGAAAAAGTGTAGTGAGCCTCTACTATCAACACCACCCTCTTCTATTTATGGAGTGGGCACCAGGTAACAGAATGCTTACTTTATTCTATGCCCAACTCATTTACTACCTATAAAAAAGGCGTGAATGTCATCACTATCCCCATTTTACACATGATGAAACAGTGGCAGAGAATTTAGTAGACTTCCTGGGATTAGAACCAAGCCTATCCCCTTTATTTTTTATTTTTTATTTTTTTTATCACTTGTGTGTGTTGTCTTAGCCTATCCCCTTTAAAGACTAGGATTTAACTACAAAATTCCATAGGCAATCGATCCCACCATTCCCAATTTGTTTCTCTGCTTAGGTCAGCTGTGTTCAATGGCCTTGAAGACCTATAAAATCATGAAGGACCTAGCTTCCTGGGCCACTTTCAATTTGGGCCAAACTGAGCAGCACGTGGACTGCATTTCTACTGGAGCAGGTACACAGTACCACAGAACTGACCAGGATGTGGCCTGCCCTGATTGCTGCTTAGATGCAGCCTAAGACCACAGTCCAGAGTGCCTGGCATTCTTCCAGCCAGAGCAGCACCTTACGTACTAATGGTCAGGGTTCAACCTTCTTCATAGAGTTGCTAGACGACAAAGTACTTAGAACTCAGTAAACTCAGTGATAGTAGTCACTATCATTCCATCCTTATGCTTTCTTCTAACTTCCTCTAGCTCCCTAGGGTCCTATTGTGAAACAACTCTCTAGCCCAGTTCCTCCTACAGAGCAACTTGAGCAGGAAAAGCCCATGACCATCTCCTCTGCTCCTTCAACACCTAACAAGCTTCTACGTACCATTTCAATTGCCAAATCCCTAGGCCATTAAGATCAATAACAACTCTCTCTCCATGCTTTTCTCTTGAACTTGCTATAGACCACAGGGGTTTCCCACACAGCCCTGGAGCTAGATTACTGTATTCAAATTCTGTCTTTGTTACTTACCAGCTGTGTGACCTTGTATGACAGACTTAACCTCTCTGAGCCTGTTTATCATTTTTAAAATGGGGATAATCATCAAGCCTATCTCATACGATTGCTGTGAGAGGATTTCCTGTGTCTCTACTTTTTTTTTTTTTTTTTTTGAGATGGACTTTTGCTCTTGTTGCCCAGGCTAGAGAGCAATGGCGCAATCTCGGCTCACTGCAACCGTCACCTCCCAGGTTCAAGTGATTCTCCTGCCTCAGCCTCCCGAGTAGCTGGGATTACATGTGCGCCCACTCCCACCATGTTCAGCTAACATTTTTTTTGTATATGTAGTAGAGATGGGGGTTTCACCATGTTGGTCAGGCTGGTCTCGAACTCCTGACCTCAGGTGATCCACCCGCCTTGGCCTCCCAAAGTGCTGTGATTACAGGTGTGAGCCACTGTGCCTGGCTTGACACAGGTTCTTGTTCTGTCGCCCAGGCTGGAGTGCAGCGGCACAATCTTGGTTTACTGTAACCTCTGTCCCCTCAAGCTCAAGCAATCTTCCCACCTCAGCCTCCCAAGTAGCTGGGACTGAAGGTGCATGCCACCATGCCTTTCTAATTTTTGTATTTTTAGTAGTAGAGATGGGGTTTCACCATGTTGGCCAGGTAGGTCTCAAACTCGTGGCCTCTAGTAATCGTTCCACCTTGTCCTCCCAAAGTGCTGGATTACAGGTGTGAGCCACCGCATCCGGCTGTATCCATCTTTCCATCTCTTTATTCTCTATCATCTATCTATTATCTATCTATCTACCTGTCTAATATACTTATATTTCAATCTCATCCACTTTCTAAAAGGATTTTACGGAAAAAACCCTAAAACTAAAAACCCCCTAAAAACTCACATAAAAAAACAACACACACACACACATTTGTGTATATAGTACATAAAACTACATATTACATAAAATAATCTTCAAAGTATCATTTTATATTTGTTGAGCCAGGGTAAGTTAAAAATAAATGTTCCCAATTATGGTCAGATTAAGGTAAAAGTGGTTTACTCACAGATTGCTTACACAAATATAAATTGACTCAGAACTTTTTGGAAAGCACTTTAAAAGTACATTTCAAGAGGTATTAAAAAATCTCCAGCCAGGCGTGGTGGCTCACGCCTGTAATCCTAGCACTTTGGGAGGCTGAGTTGGGTGGATCACCTGAGGTCAGGAGTTCAAGACCAGCCTGGCCATCATGGTGAAACCCCATCTAAAAAAAAAAAAAATCTCCAGCCAGGCACAGTGGCTCATGCCTATAATCCCTGCATTTTAAGAGGCCAAGAGGGGTGGATCACGTGAGGTCAGGAGTTCGAGACCAGCCTGGCCAACATGATGAAACCCCTTCTTTACTAAAAATACAAAAAAATAGCTGGATGTGGCAGCACCCAACTATAATCCCAGCTATTGAGGAGGCTGAGAAAGGAGAATTGCTTGAACCCAGGAGGAGGAGGTTGCAGTGAGCTGAGATCATGCCATTGCACTCCAGCCTGGGCAACAAGAGTGAAACTCCATCTCAAAAATAAATAAATAAATAAAAATAAAAAATAAAAGTAATAAAAAATAAATAAAAGTAAAATAAATAGCTTAAGTAAACAATAATGTATCCACTTTGCCTTACCTCACAACTATACCAAAATGAAAATTATAAAAGCCACTCTGCAAAGAAGAACTAAAATGCCAGGCTGAAAAGAAAAAAGCAGCATTCGCAATGAATCTAGGAAATGACGAGCAATATGTACATTTACTATGCAAACATATGGATAAATATTAACTATGAATAAAACAACACATTAATGAAGATGAATGACTACATTTTGTTTCCAGTATATTGTCATAATAACACTATTTGCATTATTTTAAAATGTCTGAAACATAGGCTATAACCATAGTGTACTAAATATAGATTTTTTTTTTTTTTTTTTTTTTTTTGAGACAGAGTCTTGCACTGTTTTACTGGCTGGAGTGCAGTGGTGCCATCTTGGCTCACTGCAACCTCTGCCTCCCAGGTTCATGCGATTCTTCCACCTCAGTCCCTAGTAGCTGGGATTACAGGCACCCACCAATGCGCCCAGCTAATTTTTGTATTTTTAGTAGAGATGGGGTTTCACCATACTGGCCAGGCTGGTAAACTTAGATCTTAACTGTGCATTCTGAATCATTTTGGTTGATTATGCCCATGATTACCTGTTAGAGATAATGTGTAATTTCATAAATGAGTGATTGCACATTAGTCATTCTTATCAGTTTCAACACTTTTTCTTTCTTTCTTTTTGAGACGGAGTTTTGCTCTGCTCTGTTGCCCAGGCTGGAGTGCAGTGGTGCGATCTCGGCTCACTGCAACCTCCACCTCCCAGGTTCAAGTGATTCTCCTGCCTCAGCTTCCCGAGTAGCTGGGACTACAGGCATGTGCCACCACGTCCGGCTAATTTTTGGTATTTTTAGTAGAGACCAGGTTTCACTGTGTTAGTCAGAATGGTCTCAATCTCCTGACCCCATGATGCACCTGCCTCAGCTTCCCAAAGTGCTGGGATTACAGGCATGAACCACCACACCTGGCTCAACTCAACGCTTTCACATACTCTAAACAGTCACAGAGTTACCATAAACTTAACATAAATTATTATCCTTATAATGTATCTATAAATAGAAATCTATTAAATGGCTTTTCTAACGTGTCCGGGATTCAGACATTGCTGTAATACATGTAACAAAAATCCTTACCACAGGCCTTCGTTCCGATCTGTGATGAGTAATACAATGATCCAGCAAGCTGTCTTCATCCAGTTCCCTCTGACAAAAGGGACATACACACCTGGAAATAACAGAATACAAATATTACTAAAATGGTTGGCAACTAGAGAGTAGTCACTTTTTTTTCTTATTTTTTTTTTCTTGAGACATTGTCTTGCTCTGTGGCACAGGCTGGAGTGTAGTGGTGCAATTTTGGCTCACTGCAACCTCAACCTCCCAGGTTCAAGGAATCTTCCTGCCTCAGCCTCCCAAGTAGCTAGGATTACATGCCCCCACCACCATACCAGGCTCATCTTTGTATTTTTAGTAGAGACAGGATTTCGCCATGTTGGCCAGGCTAGTCTGGAATTCCTGGCCTTGAGAGATCCACCCACTTAGCCTCCTAAAGTGCTGGGATTACAGGCATGAGCCACCACACCCAGTCCATAGTATTCACTTAACTAAAGGTTAAAAAACAGAATGTAGGTGGGGATATAGTCTCTAGACCTATTTGTTTATCTGATTTGACAGTGTTTTTCCCAATCTGATAACACTGTTGGTGCCTACATTTTTTTCTCATGAGAAATGTAAATGTGTGTCCTCACAGGGACAGGGCAGAAAAACATGACAGTACACGTGAAACAAATTATTCTCTTTGGGAGAGAAGTGCAATCTGAGCATGCATTAACTGAGAAACTGAGGATTGCAGCACACAATTGTCTTTAGATTACCTTTTTCTTCCTCCCTTTCCAAATTCACATAACATTTAGATGGGGTGTTATTTGTTTTCTAACTTCACTAGCATATAACTACATGCGTCAACCTATACTGTTAGTTTCTAGTGAAGAATGAAAAGTGACCTGCAGCCTGGGCAAGATGGTTGAAGGCCATAATCTCGGCCCTTTGGGAGGACAAGGTGGGCAGATCACTTGAGCTCAGAAGTTTGAGACCAGCCTGGGCAACATGGTGAAACCTCTATTAAAAGTACAAAAAATTAGCGTGGTGGCACACGCCTGTGGTCTGAGCTACTCGGGAGGCTGAGACAAGAGCATCACTTGAGCTCAGGAAGTGGAGGTCACAGTGAGCTGAGATTGCACCATTGCACTCCAGTCTGGGTGACAGAGCAAGACACCCTCTCAGGATAAAAAAAAGAAAAGAAAAAGAAAAGTGACCTGCAGCTACTTTGTTAAATCCTTATGTACATTTAGGAATATTTGTCCCTTATCTGTGCTGTCCAAGATGTGTCCACTGGGCACTTGAAATATGGCTAGTCCAAATTCAGATATACAGCCAGGTGTAGTGGCTCATGCCTGTAATCCAGCACTTTGGGAAGCTGAGGTGGGTGGATCACCTGAGGTCAGGAGTTCAAGACCAGCCTGGCCAACATGGTGAAATCCCTTCTCTACTAAAAATACAACAAAATTAGCTGGGCATAGTGGCAGCTGCCTGTAATCCCAGCTACTCAGGAGGCTGAGGAAGAAGAATCACTTGAACCCGGGAGGTGGAGGTTGTAGTGAGCCGGAATCGTACCATTGCACTCCAGCCTGGGCAACAAGAGTGAAATTCTGTCTCAAAAAACAAAAAACAAAATTTGGATACACTGGATGTATAATATACACATTGAACTTTGAGGATTTAGTGTAAAGAGAAAAAAATGTAAAATATCATGATAATTTTTATACCAATTACATGTTCAAATGATAATATTCTGGCAATATTAGGTTAGATAAAATATACTGAAAGGTAACTTAAATTTTATCTTGTTATTTTTTTAAATGCTGCTACTAGAAAATTTATAATTACATGTGATTAACATTAGATTTCTATTGGACAATACTGTCTTAAGTTCTTAGGGACAATATGGAGTCCTGGAGTTGTTTGCTCACTTTCTGTTACAGATGTAGCTTCCTGTCCCCCAAAACTTGTTCTCTGGACAAGCTCCATGTGTAAGAATTTTTAAAATTTGAATTACGTGGTAAATTCTTCTGTAAAGCAAATATTTTTATCATAAATGCAAATATTAGTTTATCTCATAAAATTGATTAATCAATAACCCTCCCCATTTTGTATTATTTTTATTATTTACTATTTAATTCTAATCAGTAGAAGAAACTAGGATTCAAATTAGCTTTCACATATTTTAAAATTTTCATAAGAGCTGTCAACCTTGCAATCAAACCCATACACTTTCTCAACCTATTTGTAATCCTTCCTTCCTATTGGTCATTGTGGTCAATATAACAGGATTCATACACTGTTTATAGCTAAAATACTCATTTAAAATTTATAATGTCAGGGTATAAAGCTAATCTTAGAATAACAGGCACTTTTGCAAGGCAATCTCTAGTAAAACAAAAGGAATGGGGTGATTGTTTAGACTTTTAGGTTTAGAAATGTAAGCTATATTTTGAGTATATTTTCTAGAAATGAGCAGAGCTAACATTTTTCTTTGAGAGACAGAGATTATACCCAAACTGAATACCAGTATTGGATGCATGAATCCGTAGGTAGATTAACGGCTAGAAAGACATCAACCTATGCTAGAGAGCACAAATCACTTTATTTGGTTAGTAGGGGCAGATTACAAACTTTAGAATTACTCTGATGCAGCTAAATTAGCTTTCTCATCAAGAGAGTAATGACCTAGATTGATTTCCTTCCCTTCCTTCCTTCCTTCCTTCCTTCCTTCCTTCCTTCCTGACTGCCTGCCTGCCTGCCTGCCTGCCTTTCCTTCTTTCTTTCTTTTTTGAGACAGAGTCTTGCTCTGCCACCCAGGCTGGAGTGCAGTGGCCAGATCTCAGCTCACTGTAGACTCTGCCTCCCTGGATCAAGGAAGTCATGTGCCTCAGCCTCTGGAATAGCTGGGATTACAGGTGTGCTTCACCACGCCCAGCTATGTTTTGTATTTTTAGTAGAGATGGGGCTTTGCCATGTTGCCCTGGCTGGTCTTGAATTCCTGACCTCAGGTGATCTGCCTGCCTCAGCCTCCCAAAGTGCTGGAATTGCAGATGTGAGCCACTGTGCCCTGCCAGTGTTTCTTTTTCTTTTTCTTTTTTTTTTTAAGAATAAAATAGTTAATGATCAATATCCTCCATTAAGTCTTCCAGCTTCCTCCATCTGCCCCCTACCCCCATACAAGATTACCCATCAAAAAGGCAAAGGATTCAGGATGTCTGCCCAGCCTGTTTTCCTCTTTTATACTGAGATGCTGCTGTCTATCTTCTAAAGAGAAACAAGCAAAATGATAAGGAATGAGCTGGTGAAATGAGCAGTGGTGACAGAAGATGGATCATCCCAAACACGACCTACTTCAGGAATCTATCAGAAAACAGACTAGCAGAAATGTAACAGTTCTGCATTCTATTTCTGGATCTGTGTTAACACAAACTTGTTTGAGGAAGTTGCCCCAGTCTCTCCAACATGTGGTTGGTTTCCCTCAAGAAATTTTTATAGAGTGCAAAATTCTTTGATAATGATTGCTGTCAAAAAATGATGACCAGTACCAGATATTAAAGAACCTAAACAAATATGTAAATATTTTCATAATAAGAATGTTAAAGTTTCCAGCTCATTAAATTATTTATAAATATATCAATTTTGGCATTAATCTATATTGCATTCAAACAAACCTTGCTGCTGTCTCCCCAAGATCTTGTAGTGGTCCATACATATCTATGTACTTCTGACAAGTCCGAATATGTGCCCTCATTTCACTGAGGCAAACCTATATAAAAACAAATTCAAAATAAACTCACTGTTTAAAAAGGGGGCTCAATGAAAGCTTATGCAATCCACCCTTTTAACTTTCAAATAAGGTCGTATTGTGGGATCAATTGACTAAATGGATGCATTCATGACACCAGTTTCACCAAAAGTTAATGCATTATCCAGAATACTATTATTTTTAATTTCTCCAACACTAAGAAGACCCAACTGTTAAGTTCTTGAATTTGGTTTTTCTTAAAAGCATATACAATTTTTAAAGTAGATAGATGTGTAGTAACTCAGATTTACTTATTTTGCATGCCATTACATAAACAGGTTTTAGAAAGAAGGAAGTGACGGGAAAAAAAAGGGTGAAGAAAAAGAGCACAAGAGGGAGGAAAGAAGAAACAATTTAAGATGGAAAAAGAGACAGAAAAAAGAAATGGAGCGATAAGAATAATAAATGGATAAATTTTAGAGGTGGCCATAGTAAGTTAAATGAAACACTGTGCCTTAGGGAAAGACATAAATAGCATGGTTTTATAGCACACCCAATAATATGATATGAATTCACAATACACAGTATACTTAGTGGTACCATTAAGAGCAAACATAAAAGATAGTTCTTGCAGTTCATTTTTATCCATGCAGAATAAAGAGCCCTTGTTCTTTCAGATATACATTCAGAGATCCTAACCATGAGGGATCTGTTGCTAACATAACACATTCGACTAAATGTTTCATTAGAAACTCTGATAAGATCTTGTGCTAAAGGAAGCTTTGTACAGCTGTGGTAAGGTGGCCAACCCACTCTGCTTCATTTTGCCCAAGCTACGGAAGTTAAACCTCAAACATGAAATCTGCCATGTTGAGGAAACAGTTATAATTGTTTAACAAAAGGCAAAAATAAAACCAAGCGGAAAAGTAAGAACAAAACCCTTGCTTTACAAATATCCACCTAAAAGATATAAAAACTAGGATTGAGCTGCATAAACTGTCTTAAACAGATGTATTTGACAATCTTTTACATCCAACTTTGCATATTAGTGTTCTCTCATGTCTTTATGACTTTTGCTAGTAAAAATTTCTATTTGTATTCTTTGTTGAACAAAGATAAGCATTAGTCATAAAAATTAATAAGCTGTGGACTATCTACCAACAAATGAATTGATCAATTCATAGTCTAGACACAAAATTAACTGAGACATTATAAGAAATGGCAGAAGAAACATAATTCATTGTGCCTGTTCTGATGCTGCTTTTAATCCAACAGAGGAAAAAGGATGTGTAGACAAGTAGATAAGAAATTGTTTGATATAGGGGCTGGGTGCAGTGGCTCACACCTGTAATCCCAGTACTTTGGCAGGCTAAAGTGTGTGGATCACCTGAGGTTAGGAGTTCAAGACCAACCTGACCAATATGGTGAAACCCCCTCTCTACTAAAAATACAAAAATTAGTGGGGTGGTGCACACCTGTAGTCCCAGCTACTTGGGAGGCTGAGACAGGAGAATTGCTTGAACCCGGGAGGTGGAGGTTTCAGTGAGCTGAGATCACACCACTGCACTCCAGCCTGGGCAACAGAGCGAGACTGTCTAAAAAAAAAAAAAGTGTTTGATGTAGTGAACTGGAATACTAAGACAAGGCCTCAAGGAAAGGATCTGGCCTGGACTCTGAAGAATAGGGAGAGTGCAAAATGAGTATAGAAGGAATGGGGAGCATTCCTAGAAAGAGGGGTAATACAGAAAGGAAAGGACAGGATATAAGAAGTATCTCAAGGCTAGGCTCAGTGGCTCATGCTTGTAATCCTAGCACTTTGGGAAGCCGAAGTAGACAGATCATCTGATGTCAGGAGTTCAAGACCAGCCTGGCCAACATGGTGAAATCCCGTTGGTAAAGTACAAAAATTAGCTGGGCAAAGTGCTGCACACCTGTAGTCTCCACTACTCTGGAGGCTGAGGCACGAGATCACTTGAACCCAGGAGGCGGAGGTTGCAGTGAGCCAACATTATACTCCACTGCACTCCGTCCTGGCAACACAGCGAGATTCTGTCTCAAAAAAAAAAAAGTATCTCAAAGAAAAAAATCAAAATCTTTGTGATTTAACAGATAATGGAGAAGGGGAAGGTGGTGAAAAAAAGAGGATTTCCACACAGAGTGATTGAGAGAATCCTCTTGTTTCTGACAGACACAAAGAGGGGATCAAGAGCTGGATGATGAAAGAACATGATGAGTTGCAGTTTGAGCAAAACGGAGTTTTGCTCTTGTTACCTGGGCTGCGGTGCAATGTAGCAATCTGGGCCCACTGCAACCTCTGCCTCCCAAGTTCAATCGATTCTCCTGCCTCAGCCTCCCAAGTAGCTGGGATTACAGATGCCCGCCACCACGCCCATCAAATTTATTTTATTTTTTTGTATTTTTTAGTAAAGATGGGGTTTCACCATGTTGGTCAGGCTGGTCTCGAACTCCTTACCTCAGGTGATCCACTCGTCTCAGCCTCCCAAGGTGCTGGGATTACAGGTGTGAGCCGCTGCACCTGGCCTTGTGTATGAATCTTATGTGAAGACAAACTAAGTAAAAATAAGCAATAATCTACTATTAAGAATGTAAAAAGCCATTGATTTTTAGCATTTACTATATTCCAGACACTGCGTTAAAAGCCAAGCATCCGGCTTGGCGTGGTGGCTCACACCTGTAATCCCAGCACTTTGGGAGGCCGAGGCAGGTGGATCACAAGGTCAGGAGTTCAAGACCAGCCTGGTCAAGATAGTGAAACTCTGTCTCAGGCCAGGCATGGTGGCTCACGCCTGTACTTCAAGCACTTTGGAGGCCAAGGCGGGTGGATCACCTGAGGTCAGGAGTTCAAGACCAGCCTGACCAACATGGTGAAAACCCGTCTTTATTTAAAAAAAAGAGGCCAGGTGTGGTGGCTCAAGCCTATAATCCCAGCACTTTGGGAGGCTGAGGCGGGTGGATCACGAGGTCAAGAGATCAAGACCATCCTGGTCAACATGGTGAAACCCCGTCTCCACTAAAAATACAAAACATTAGCTGGGCATGGTGGCGTGTGCCTGTAATCCCAGCTACTCAGGAGGTTGAGGCAGGAGAATTGCCTGAACCCAGGAGGCGGAGGTTGCGGTGAGCCGAGATCGCACCATTGCACTCCAGCCTGGGTAACAAGAGTGAAACTCCGTCTCAAAAAAAAAAAAAAAAGAAACTCTGTCTCTATAAAAAATAAAAAAAAATTTAAAAAGCCAATCATCAGTCATATATATCAATATATATTTAGCATTTACCTTTAAAATCACTCTCTAACGTGAACATGAGCATGATCCTCTCCTCAGCTCCTCTTTTTTGTTGAGAGAGCCTTGCTATGTTGCCTAGGCTGGAGTATAGTGGCGTAGTCACTGCAGCCTTGATCTCCTGGGCTCAAGCAATCTTCCTGTCTCAGCCTCTGGAGTGGTTGGGACTACATGCATGCACCACTATGCCCCAGCTAATTTTTTTGATTTTTAGTAGAGACACAGTCTCTTCCCAGGCTGATCTTGAACTCCTGAGCTCAAGCAATCCTCCTGCCTTGGCCTCCCAAAGTGCTGGGATTACAGGCATAAGCCACTGTGCCAGCCTCTTTCTCTTCATTTTGCAAAAAGGTAAACAAATACTCAGATTAATAACTTACCCAAAATTACAAAGAGTAAGTGACAGAATTAGAATCAGTTTGATCTAAGAGGTCTAATTCCAAACACCATGAACAAATTCTGCAATCAGATATAAGGCTCTATAATCGAACCTAATAAATAGATATCTAATGAATAGGTGATTGAGTCTTATATAAATATTCAGAAATGCAATGAGCACTTAGTATGTACCAGTCACTTTTCAAAGTGCTGGCTACACAGATGTCAACAAATAGAGCCTTTACCTTCATGGCACTCAAATGGAATGAATGTAACTGACATTAAACAAAAAACAGCCCAAAAGCAGAATTACAAATGGTGATAAGAGGTGCATGGGAAAAGCACAGAGTGCTGAGAAACAGTATGACAGGGCTATAGTTTAGATGAATTATTAAGAAAGGTTCTCTAAAGAAATGTAGACACTTAGTACACAATCCCTCTTTTTTTTTTTGAGACAAAGTCTCACTCTGCCGCCTTGGCTGGAGTGTAGTAGCATGATCTTGGCTCACTGCAACCTCCACCTCCTGGGTTCAAAATATTCTCCTACCTCAGCCTCATGACTAGTTGGGATTACAGGCATGCAACACAACATCTGGACGATTGCGTATTTTTAGTAGAGACGAAGCTTCCCCATGTTGGCCAGGCTGGTCTCAAACTTCTGACCTTGTGCTCTGCCCACTTCGGCCTCCCAAAGTGCTGGGATTACAGGCGTGAGCCACGTGCCTGGCCAAAATCCCTCTTTTGATTTTTAGACTGGTATATCTAAATACTTTCCCAGTATCTTTCCTTGGTAGTTCAAAGTTAACATATCTAAAACTTAACTCTGTATCCTTCTCCAAATTTGCTCCCCATATGAACATCCTCATTTATTCACATCTGAATGCCTGGGAAGCATTTTTGACACGTTCCTCTCACTCAGCCCCACATCCAGTCAATTATCAATTTATTTCTATTCTATCTCCTAAATATGCTTGAAACAACCTCTTATTGATAGTGGCAGGAGCCTGACAAATCTCTAGGTAGACAGGGGCGAGTCCTTGATGAAACCTGACCTTCAGGCCAAAGACAGTTTAAAGCCTGAAAGCCAAGCTACAAGTTAAATCTATGGATGGAGTTGAGGACCTCTCTTCCCCTTTGGTGTGCTTTCCTCTGATTGATCCTCACCTTTCACCTCTTTTACATATACCTACCCTTCCCTAACTGTTTTTAATATAGTGTCATGCCCATCTTTGAATGCTGCCTTTGTTTTAGCCTCTTTTGCATACTCAGAAACCAATCAGCATGCACTCCCCCATTTTGAACCCATAAAACCCCTGGAACCAGCCATACTGGGAGAAAGAGACCACCAACTTTGGTGGGGAACCTCATGTCGCTTCTCTGCTGAGAGCTGTTAAATTGCTTAATAAAACTCTTCTCCAACCTTCTCACCCTTCAACTGTCAGCATAACCTCATTTTTCTTGGATGTGGGACAAGAACTTGGGAACCACCAAACACAGATGGGCTGTGGTATGCCTGGACCAGATGTCAGCTGAGCCAGTGCATAAGCCAGACATGGTCTAGTGGGCAGAGTGGGTGGGGAGAGTCTCCCAGGCCAAGCAAGACTTGGGTGGGGTCATTGCTGGCTCTGGAGGTCCCCGGCTAGCAAAGTGGGCAAGAATAATCCTGCATCATTATTCCACGTCTAATGCTATCATTCTAATCCAGCTTCCTTACATCATAATAGCCACCTAACTGGTTTCACCAATTTCATTTTTGCCCTACTGCAAACCATTTTCTATGCATACATTAGAGTCATATCTTAAAGATATAAGCCTGGGCCGGGCATGGTGGCTCATGCCTGTAATCCCAGCACTTCGGGAGTCCGAGGCAGGCAGTTTGCCTGAGGTCAGGAGTTCGAGATCAGCCTGGCCAACATGATGAAACCTCATCTCTACAAAAAATACAAAAATTAGCCAGACATGGTGGTAGGCCCCTGTAATCCCAGCTACTAGAGAGTCTGAGGCATGAGAATTGCTTGAACCCAGGAGAATTGCAGTGAGCCAAGATCGCACCACTGCACTCCAGCCTGGTAGAAATATGTCATCAGATTTGATAATAAAGCTGTTAATTGGTGGCCTGCAATACAGTAGCAGAACTGGAGGACATATGATAGAGAATTACTGGAGTAATAGGAAGAAGAGAAAACAGAGGTGGTCAATGAAGCACTTGTTTGACAAATTGGGGGTGATGGTAGGAGTTCACGGTTTTTTGTAGAATATATGTATATATATATATATATACACACACATATACATATATGAGGCTGGGCGAGGTGGCTCACGCCTGTAATCCCAGCACTTTGGAAGGCTGAGGCGGGCGGATCAAGAGGTCAAGAGATCAAGACCATTCTGGCCAACATGGTGAAACCCCACCTCTACTAAAAATACAAAAATTAGCTGGGCATGGTTGCACACGCCTGTGGTCCCAGCTACTTGGGAGGCTGAGGCAGGAGAATCACTTGAACCTGGGAGGTTGAGGTTGCAGTGAGCCGAGATCGCGCCACTGCACTCCAGCCTGGACGACAGAGCCAGATACGGTCTCAAAAACAACAACAACAGAAAAAAAAAAAAAAAAAAAAAAAACCAGAAAAGAAAGGGTGGGTAGTACCATGGGGTCAGAAGCAGAGGTGAAATTATAACTTTCTCAGGGACTTAAGTTGGTAACCATGAACACAGGCCGGTCACATACCAGGGTGTCACACTCAGTGCAGTTCTTAAACTCTGATTTCATCCTTTTGGCTACATCAGTTGCTGGAACTCCTCCTGAAGGAAGATATGCCCGGCAATAAGGACAAGTCCACTTGTTGTTCTTTAGACTGGTAGCAATACAGGAACGGCAGAATCTACCCCAAACAAACCAAAAATACATCACTTTCCTTGAAAGCTATAAGGAGCCACCACCGTGTGTTCATTTGTGTAAATTGTAATTTAATGACACTTTATATTCCATGAGCCATACTACCAAATTACAGGTCCACTTGCCCCCTACACCTCCCAATTGCTTTACCTTCCCATCAAGACTTCTTTGGAATCACACATTCTCATCACATGTACTTTCATGCATTTCAAGAAAAGTAAGAATTCAAAGTAAGTGAAATAGCTTTCCTATAGACTAAGTTTAAATGATAATTTAAAGAACGTCTAGATAGAATTTTACCTCAAATTTCTTAAGAAAATATGTCTTTCTTCTGTGGTGTTTTGTGTGTTACATAAAGAAGTAGCAGCAAGTCAAGGAAGTAAAAATACCAGACACATTAAAATTCTTATAAAACCATTTCCTCCCTCCCTCCCCTCCCCTCTAGCTCTCCTCCCCTTCACCCTTCCTCCCTTCCCTCCTCTCTCCCCCACCTCCTTCCCTCTCTCCTTCCTTCCTTCCTCCCTCCCTCCCTCTCTCCCTTTTCTCTCTCTTTCTCTACCTCCCTCTCTCCCCACCTCTGTTTCTTTTTGTTTCTTTTAAGACCCAGGGTCTTGCTATGTTTCTTAAGCTGGATTCAAACTCCTGAGCTCAAGAGATCCTCCCTGCTTTGCCTCCCAAATGGCTGGGACTATAGGTGCAAGCACCACGCCCAGCATAAAATAATTTTAAAGTCATCCCCAGATATAGAAAATTAGCTAATTAAAATGACCACTATTAGGAATGTCTTCCAAGTCAAGAAATATGTTCTTTGATTTATTTAAAGGAGCTCATTATGAAACCTTACCATAATCAACATATCCAGAAAATTCTGACTTATTTATAGGGGTTGTTGAAGGCTCCATGAACACAGAAACAAAACGAGCATTTAGGTAATTTATACACAACAGCATGACCTGATGCCTCTTAAACTACTAAGCACGTAATATCTGTTTGGGATTACTAATACATGTCAAAAAGTCAGTTAAGTATACAATACTGAAAAGTTCTTATATCATAAGCATACAGTTGAATGAAAGTTCAAAACCAAACAATTTCTCACCTCCTGTTTCCTTTCCAGCCACAATTCTTTTTTGTTGTTGCTTTGTTTTGTTTTGGCTTTTTGAGATGGAGTCTTGCTCTTATTGCCCAGGCTGGAGTGCAGTGATGCAATCTCAGCTCATTGCAACCTCTGTCTCCTGGGTTCAAGCAATTCTCCTGCCTCAGCCTCCTGAGTAGCTGGAATTACAGGCACCCATCACCATGTCTGGTCAATTTTTTGTATTTTTAGTAGAGATGGGGTTTCACCATGTTGGTCAGGTTGGTTTCAAACTCCTGATCTCAGGTGATCCACTTGCCTCAGCCTCCCAAAGTGCTGGGATTACAGGTGTGAGTCATGTGCCTAGCCTCCAGACACAATTCTAACTCCTCCAAGGTAATCATTTACTTTTTTCTTCATGTATTTTAACATAAAAATTATAATATACTTATCAAACATGGTACCAGTCTACAGACTGCAGCTTTCACATCCCTGCTTACTATCTTTGGTGGCATTAATCATTGACTTCTAATGACAAAGATTTCCTATTTCTCTACGTTATATAAATCGAATCCTCTGGTATGTATTCTTTGTCTCCTTTTCAATGTTATGGTTAAAAGATTCACCCATATTGTTGTCCATAGTTGAGATTGCCCATTCTAATTTTGTGAAGTCTGTTGTATGAATACATCCAAATTTATCTATCATTCTATTGTTAATGGGCTATTTAGGTAGTATTTAAATACTTGCTCATGATAAACTTTAGTAATGGGCAGGTCTAAACCATTCCTTTTTTTTTCTTTTTAACTTCTAATTATATTAGTCAATATCAATTTCTTTCCTCTTTATTTTTTCTTTCTTACTATGTTTGAATTTGGTTTGGATCATGACTGATTCATAACAGTATTTTCTGCATCTGTTTTCAAATTAGTGTAAGCAGACAGAGGATGCTCACTTGTGCAGTGATTTAGACTTCTACTTGTTGTTTATAACTGGCCAGCAGCCATTCCTCCTTTTTCTTGTAATAGCATCCTGCTCTTGCTCTGCAGAAACCATACCTCTTATATTACATGTAGTCGGACCTCAATCAAGGTGCCTACCAACTCCTGCTGAAGGTGTGAGCACCTGGCCAGCCAAGTCAAGCATAGACTCTGTCTCTAGAAGTTGAATACTGCACAGTGACATATGAATGATTCAGTGGCAATTAGACGGAACATTTCTCCCTTTACTTAGAACCCCATATATGCCTTCATTCCTACCCTTTCCTTCTAGCTATTTTCTTCTTATTTACTCATTTTTTTTTGAGATGGAGTTTTGCTCTGTTGCCCAGGTGCAATCTTAGCTCACTGCAACCTCTGCCTCCCAGGTTCTAGCGATTCTCCTGCCTCAGCCTCCCGAGTAGTTGGGATTGCAGGTGTGCACCACCATGACTGGCTAATTTTTTTTATACTTTTAGTAGAGACGGAGTTTCGCCATGTTGGCCAGGCTGGTCTCGAACTCCTGACCGCAAGTGATCTGCCCACCTCGGCCTCCCAAAATGCTGGGATTACAGGTGTGAGCAACTGTGCCCAGCCAGTAATTTTTTATGTATAATTTCAAGCTTGATACACTGGTTCTCTACATAAATTTTAAAAAATACTTCCATATACCTTAATTTATTTAACCTTAAACCCCCAAGAAAGATCATTATTTCCATTTATAGATAGGGAGACTGAGGCACATACAGGGTAGGTCTCTTCTTCAAGATTACATAAAGGAGCAGTGTGAAGAAGAGGCAAGAACAACTCCCAGACCAACTATAACCCAGGCGCTGTTGCATCTCTTACTCAGGGCCTATGTCCCGCTGTAGCTGCCGCCCTGCCCAAGAGAAAGAGAGTGGATGCTAAGGAGATAACGCCAAGATGAAGGACGAACCACAGAGAAGATCTGTAAGGTTGTCTGTTACATCTGCTTCTCCAAAGCCAATTCTAAGGAGGCCTTGCAAAGAAGGGAGAGAAGTTACCCAAAGGGAAAAGGGGAAGAACTGATGCTGGCAAGGAGGGGAATAACCCTGCAGAGAATGCAGAAGCCTAAACACACCAGGCACAGGAAGCCAAGGTGCTGGAGATGCCAGGTGAAGTGTGCATTTGTGATAACTATGTAGTTGGTGACACTACAGTTTGAAATACTATTTTTATCAAATTTTATAAAAAGGCAGAATTTGGTTTTCTTTTTTTTTTTAAGGTACGTTGTTAGCACACAGTGCACTTCATTGTTGTTTTCTGGGCATGAGATGCCTGTCACTGTCACTAATAGACTGTGTTGAAGCTGGATTGATATGGGGAAACACCTTTCCCTTTTAGTTTTCTCTCTCTCTCTGTGTGTGTGTGTGTGTGTGTGTGTGTGTGTGTGTGTGTGTATGTGTGTGCACGCGTGTGATGGAGTCTTGCTCTGTCGCCCAGGTGGGAGTGCAATAGCCTGATCTCGGCTTATTGCAACCTCCACCTCTGGGATTCAAGCGGTAGCTGGGATTACAGGCATGCACCACCATGTGCGGTTAATTTTTGTGTTTTTAGTAGAAAAGGAGTTTCATCATGTTGGCCAGGCTGGTCTTCCCTTCTACTTTTGAGAGGCTTCCTCTTGGCTCCCAGGAGGAGGGATTCCCTGACCTTGACAAACACAAACACCTTAGCACAAGAGCCTTGTGGTATGGAAAAACAAATTTGTTTTTATGTCCTCTTCTCCCTTTCCATCTTCAGCATAAACTTAACTCCCTTAAACCCAGACATCTGTTGAGGCCTGATCCCTATTAGTTGGTTACCAGTGTCAGGCAATCTGGACGTTCCAGTGAGGCCACTGAGATGGGGTTCCTCAAAAGAGCAGTGGTTCAATTTCTAGATTATGCATCTTCAGACAGATTCTGCCATTTTCACTTCACTTCCTGAAAGTCAGGGTCGGCTCATGTTAAGCAACATGCTAAATGTGAAATGTCAACCTTCACCCTAAACTTTCTGGTTCAGAGAGTCAAATGAATATTCTATTTTTTTTTTTTTTTTTTTTTTTTTGCCAGAGTCTTGCTCTGTCTCCCAGGCTGGAATGCAATGGTGCAATCTCAGCTCAGTGCAGCTTCCACCTCCCAGGTTCCAGCGATTCTCCAGCTTCATCTCAGCCTCCCGAGTAGCTGGGATTACAGGTGTGTGTCACCACACCTGGATAATTTTGTATTTTCAGTAGAGACAAGGTTTTGCCATGTTGGCCAGGCTGGTCTCAAACTCCTGACCTCAGGTGATCCGCCCATCTCGGCCTCCCAAAGCGCTGGGATTACAGGTGTGAGCCACTTTGCCCAGCCCTCCATTGGGTTTTACAGTGGCTTTATGTTTTTTGGTAGTCCATTGAAGAAGAGAGTTTGAAAGTTGTTGTATACTGTTAAGGATTGTCTACCCATGTGCTGCCTGAAATGCCATGACTGTTTATGGAAAGTATCTTTAATAAAGCTAGATAAAGTTTGGCTGGGGGGAAAAAAAGTCACATAAAAGAAGGTGCTTGAGCTTGGCCGGGCACAGTGGTTCACGCCTGTAATCCCAGCACTTCGGGAGGCCGAGGCGGGCAGATTACATGAGGTCAGGAGTTTGAGACCAGCCTGGCCAACATATAGTGAAACCCCATCTCTACTAAAAAAAAAAAAAATACAAAAATTAGCTGGATGTGGTGGTGCATACCTATAGTCCCAGCTACTTGGGAAGCTGAGGCAGGAGAATCTCTTGAACCTGGGAGGTGGAGGTTGCAGTGAGCCGAGATCATGCCACTATACTCCAGCCTGGGCGTCAGAGCAAGATTCTATCTTTCAAAAAGAAAGAGAAAAAGAAAGGAAGAAAGGAGAAAGCAAGAAGGAAGGAAATAGAGAGAGAGAAAGAAAGAAAAAGAGAGAGAGA